ACTCTGGGCAAGTCACTTAGCCCTGATTGCTTCGCAAAAACAAAAACAAAAAGCCTACCTATCTTTATCTATGTCTACACACACACACACACACTATCAAAACTACTGGGGGCGGCTAGTACAAAGAGCACTAGCTCTAGACGGGGAGTAAGAAGACTTAATTGAGTCCCAGCTCTGTCATTTCCCTTCTCCCAGCCTCATTTTTCCCTTCTAAAAGAAGAGAACAATGCTACCTCAGAGTTGTGAAGAAAATACTCCTGAACTGTAAAGTGCTAAATAAATATGAGCTACTGTTATTATTCTTACAGAGTACAGTTTTACTTGTTTAAATAATTTCAGGTGCCTTTTGAAAATCAATGCTATGAGAATTTGCCAAAGCCTATTTTATAACCAAGTCTAAAAGAAACTCAAAACTCAGATTCAGCCAACTAAAATTTTAAAAATGAAATATGCCTGGTGCTACAGTTCGGAACAAGGAAATACATCCCAATACCAATAATCTTTTTCTAGACAGAGTTATTAGCAGAAATAGCAAAGTGACTCCCCAAAGTTATAGACTTGTGATTATTAGGTCAGTTGTGTGACATTAATTTTCAACCAAAAGGCAAATTTAGGCACTAAACTATAATTGCACAGCCATAAAGTTAAGAAATACATGACACCATTTCTTTATTACATCTCTTATAAGGTTTAATTTTAGTTTTGTCTCTGACAATGTCCCATTTTTTCCCACAAGCATCTTGTGTCAGTTACTCAAAACTTTTAACATTTAATTGGGAAAGGCAAAGCCAACCGAAGTTGGTCTATCTAATAGCCATGTAAATAACCCCTGTTCACATCTGATCCTAGATCAAGGGTTCTTAACTTTTTCTTCTGTCATGGATGCCTTTGGCAGCCTGGCAAAGCCTATATATCCCTTCTTCATACCACTGCTTCTAAATGCATAAAATAAAAGTACGCAGTATTACAAAGGAAATAAATTATATTGAAAATAGTTATCAAAGTTTTCCTGGTTTTTTATTTTCTACAAAGTTCACAGGACCCCAGCTTAAGAATCCCTGTCCCATGTAAATTTGACACAAAATACAATTTTGTACGCCAGGCTCTCAAACCTAGGTGCCACTCTTCAATCAAGTTCAAGAAATGTTAAAGAATCTCAGAATTAGAAGTATCAGAAGTCTAAATCCGCCTTTCTGTAACTTCCATTCAATGCACCTAGATCATTATGTGTCCTTTACATCTAAAGAATTGTGGATACAAAGATGGAAGGGGGAAAAAAAAAGTCTAGGCCCACACGAAGTTTAAAATCTAAGAAGGGGATAAAATATGAATAGAGGCATTAAAATGTGATAAGGCAGAGAACAATTTAACTGTGAAGAATCAAGGAAGAGGGACAGGGGGCCAATACCTGAGCTGAATCGTTAAGGATTTCAACAGACAGAAATAAAAAGGGAAAAACATTCCATACATGGAAGTGGGAGGTTGGAGCAACAAGATTACAGAAGGGAAGGAGTAGTTCAAATTGGGTGAACTGCAAAGTGGTTGAAGCAAAGTAGTGGGAAAGTACAAAATAACCTGAGGACACACAATGACCCAGTTCATCTCTATATGGAGTTCAATACCAAACTCTTATCATAATAAACAACAACAAAATACTGGATTATCTATAGAATTAAAAATATTTTTTCCAATTTAATCAGTAATCTAGTAATTAAATTCATTATCAGACTGTAAAGCTACCTTTAGTAACTGATTCAAGGGGAAGTGGGCAGGTACAGCAAAAAGAATCTGATATTATAATTTCCTTAACATTTAACTTTGGACCTCTAGAGTACAGACAAGTTAAAGAAAAGAAAATGACATAGCTGGAACAGCAAAAATGCTGTGCCTATCTAAAAAAACTGCCCTTGCCTGAATTAATTTGGTTTAAGGGTTTCAACAGTGCATTGTGAATCTTGTCAATTCTACCTCTACCCCATGTCTCACACGTGGTAGTGCAACTATCCAGGTACAAACCTCTCTCTTGGACTATCCCCAAAACCTAAATTTCCCTGCCTCTCTCCAGTCCGTTGTCCACATAGGTGCTAAGATAATCTTCGTAAAGCAGAAGTCTGACCATGTCATCCCCTCAGCTAAAGAATCTTCAGGGTTTCCCTACTGCCTCTAAGATAAAATACAAACAATTCAACTCGACATTAAAACCCTTCAAAATCTGGCTCTATCCTGGAAGATTCTTACAGGATTAACTCCCTTCAGGTATTCTGCATTCTACCCAAAATGCCCTAGTTTCTTTTCCCTAAACTCAGTACTTCATTTCCAGCTTCACACCTTTGCACAGGCTGTGCCTATCCCTGGAATGCACTCCTTCCTCACCTCCATTCTCTTAGAATTCTAAGCTTCCTTGCAAGCTCACCTTTCTCCATTAACCATTTCATGACCCCTCACTCAGATGTCAGTGCTCACACCCTCTTTGAATGAAGGTGTTAACTTACCTGTGTACATGTTTTATATCCCCATTAGAAAGAAAGCTTCTAGAGAGCACAAGATGTTTTTTCCTTACTTTTTATCACCAGGACCAAACACAGTGCCCTACACAGAGCAATTTGTTGAACTGAATAGTTTTATGATCACTGAGAACTCATCTGCTTTTTTCTATCCATCTCTTCCACTGTCTAGTTCTTCACCCCAAATGCTGTCTCCTGGAACACTTTAACCCATGGAATTCATCTGAGGCTTCTTCCACACTTATGGATAATCAGATTTCTTTCTGATGCTACTAACATTACTTACACAACTGGCATTAATGGTTAGTGTTAACAGTTCTCAATAATGAAAGAGGCATCTTCTGGTATAGCTGAAAATAATAAGCCAGCTACGACGACTTACTATGTTCACTGTCAAGTTTAAATTCAATTTGCTTTGAACTACATTGAAGATTACAGTGTTGCATTAAAAAGGCTGGGAGGGGCAGGGAGAGAAGGATTTTCTGGTGTTTCTTTTGCCAAGTCTGCCCCAGAACAATAAAAAATATGTAAAAAACATTCTTCAAGAGCTACTATCACCAACTTTATCATAATGGGCTTTTGAAACCCAGTGTTCTCCCAGCAAATGGCATTGACAGAATTACTTGGGTAAATGTTTACTTACATGGGCTGAATGTGTCAGAATCTTTATACCTCACAAAAGTTTAATCTTCTACTCAATTTTCCACCAAAACTGTAGAAGCAAATGTATTTCAATTAAAGTCCTCCAGAATTCTAGATAACATATTACTAATGCCCCAGCTTACTTGAAAGGAGGAACAAAAAATCCCCCTGTTCAGATAAGTCACAATCTGTGTTACCTGACCAAATATAAGGAGAATTTGACTTTGGCCCATGGAATATTAGCTATATGAACTATCACTTCCTGTTCTTTAAGCAAAAGCAATACCTTGTTTCAAACCTTAGGAGCTCACCATCAACAACTGCTACCCATTCTCCTATTGCCCAACACATTAAACCCACAAGAATGTGTTCTTTCAATGTGTACGTACAGATGAAAATCCCTCAAGAACCTGATGATGCAGTGGCCACATCCCCATAAGGGGGTCCTAGGCTAACACCCTGGTTTTGCACCATAAAAGGCCTGAGCAGGCCAACCTCTAGGGTGCTTCCAGGTCAGATAGTCAGAATTAGCAATCCAGAATAAACACTGAGCCCCCTCCCCCAAATCTGACCCTGTTAGTACTGGAGCAAGACTATTCAGACAGACAATAGAAATGAGAGCAGAGAGTGAGAAATCAAGGGAATAGAGCTCCCACCCCCAAACCAACCATCACTGTTCCTGAAGACAGCCAGGAATGCCCAAACTATCCCCCCTCCCCAATCCCCCCACCAAAAAATAAAGAGAGGCAGGCAGATCCTGCAGCCCTGCTTCGAGGGGAGGGCCCTCAAGGGCTTTCCTCCCAGAAGAGGGGGGCTTGGGCACCCTAGGCAGCGCTTCCCAGTAAGGCCGAAGGAAGAGTCAGGACAACCGCCTCAGGGGTCAGCAGAAGGGCTGCAGAAAGCATTTCGAGGGCAGCCCGAGCCACCAGTTGCTCCGCAGCCTCCTCCCATCCCTCGGTGGCTGAGACAGGTTTTCCTGTGCCCCTCGGAAGAGAAAAGGGCGCAGAGAAGGGCGTAAGGGCAGCCGGGTGCCAGAGCCATGCCTCCCCTTCCCCAAACCCTCCTAGGAAAGATCACTCAGCCCCAAACCCCAGCGCAGGCCTCACGGCCCAAACGCGAAGCCGCGGTCTCGCGTACACGGCGTCGCCGAGCTCCCCCTCGCCGCCTCCGGATAGCACCACTCTGCCGGCGGCCCCAGGCTGGGGTCCGGGCGGTCAGGACCGGGTCTGTGCGGGCCAGAGGTGGCCCAAGGAACGGAGGCTCCGGCGGGACGCAGGAAGCAAGGAGGCACGGTGCCCGGGTCCAGGGGGTTGGGGGAGAGGAGGAGGGGGGCCCATGCGGCCGGTGCCCCGCCGCCCGCCGCCCGCGCTCCGGCCCTCGCCGCCCCCTCCCCGCCGCGGTGCGCGCACAGCGGCGCAGCCCCCCCGGGATACTTACGTTGCTTTGGGGGTCGATGGCCTGCAGCAGCCGGTCCCTGATCTGCTGCGGGGAGGCCGGAGCCGCTGTCATTGCCTGAGCGAGGCGGGGGGGGCGGCCGGGCCGGCGGGCTGGCGGGCGGGCAGGCTGAGGGGGGACCGGGGACCGGGCGGGGGGTCACTCACTCGCCGGCCTCCGGGAGCGGAGCCGCATGTTCCCCGCGGGGGGACGGGGGGGAGCCGGAGCCACCGCCGCCGCCTGAGCTGCCCGAGCCGCTGCCGCCGCCGCCTGAGGAGCCGCCACCGCCAGGAAGGAGCCTCCTCCACAGCCGCCACCGCCACCGCCACCGCCACCGCCACCGCCGCCACCGCCGCCGCCGCTGCCTCGAGAACCAAACTCCAGTGAGCTGCCCCCGCGCCAGGCACTCTGGGTAACCCGCGCCGCACGCAGCGCCGGCGCCACGCTGAGGAGATTGGGAGGTGGGGGGGGGAGACGAAGGAAGGGAGGGAGGGGAGAGAGGAGAGCAAGGGCAGGGGGAAGCGTGCGCGCCCCCTATGGCCCGGACACGCGCAGGGCGGTGCAGGGCGGCCCGTCCCGGAAGAAGCCTCCTTCTCCCTCCCTCCCCCACCCTTCCCCGCCCCGCGCTGTTCCGGGCCGCAAGAGAAGCCCTACGCATGCGCAAATGCAGCACCAAAAATTCCCCACCACCACCCCCCTTTCCAGTCCGTCAGGTCCCCTCTGTCTTGCCGTCCGAGATTGAGTGGGACGGCCGTTGAAAGGCGGTTGGGCCGGGGAGGAGGCCGTTGGTTGTGGGCCTGGAGAGGGGCGGGGCAACAGCTGGGGGGAGGGGCAGGGGAGTACAGACGAGGACAAGAGAGCTGACCCGCCCCACTGAAAGGGGGCAGCCTGGGCCAGAGGCGTCTCGGCTGGCTCCAGGAGGCGTCCTTCCCGCTTCTCATGCCCCGCCCACTTCAGGCCCTTGGGCGCATGTGCAGCCGGAGCCGAGGGGGCGGGCGAAGCTGGAGGAACTGCGGCGTAGGCGGCCCCTGGGAGGGGGAAGGAAAGAAGGGAGGGAGCTAGCTAGGTAGCTGGGAGGCCGGCTCTGCACCTCTGGAGGCCCCCGGCGCAGGGAAGCTGAGGTCCTCAAACCGACCGCTCGCCGGCCAGCTCCTGGAGCGCATTCCTGGCGGCCGCCGGCGAGACCAGGGCGCCCTGGGCTAGGCTGACCCGCGGAGGCGCCGGCTCCCAGCGCTGTCACCCCAAGAGACGCCCATCCCCCCCCCCCCCCGCCTTGGCCGCTGGCTCCGAACGGCCCCTGCTTAGCCTCCAACTTGTAGTGCGAGCCGCAGCCAGTCTCTCTGCCCCTCCCTGCACCCCAGATCCTGGCCTCGGAATGAGGCCCCTTCCAGGCCCGCCTCCCACGACTCTTTCGTGGGCTCCAGGTAGCTGACCAGGCTTGGCTCTTTATCGCCCCAGGGTAAAACAGAGGCTCCTGCGCTCTGGCACCGTTCACAGCTGGACCGACCTACCTTTGCAAACAGGACTCCTCTGGGCCAGCCAGACCGGGCTGTGAAGTTGTGGCCCATCTCCTCCCACTTCGGTGCATTCTAACGAGCCACCGACTATGCCTGAAGAGCACTTCCTCCTCGATTGTCAAAATCCTCTCCAAGGCTCAGGGCAAGTGCCACCTCAGCCTTGAAGCCTTCCATGATTTCGAAGGTGAAAGGGTTTCTTCATCAAATATTTCTAGAGCTCTGTCTGGATCTCCATTGCCCTATCACATTCTGCCTTATACTATGCTTATTTCAGTACATCAATTTTTCTTCTCAGTAGACCATAAATTCTTTAAAAGTGAGTAGTGCCCTTTTGCATCTAGTTTCCCTGGCACCCTATACATAGTACGTATACAATAAAATTTTTTGAGTGAAATTCTGGAAACCCAAACAGGAAATTCATTGCATATTAGTTTCTGCTCTTGATCTGACCACTTAACATCCTTCCGTGGCTCCCCCGTTCGCTCTAGAATAAAGTATAAATTCCTTACTTGTCAGTTAAAGCCCGCTACAATATGATTCCCACGTGCCTTTGCAGCTGCTACTCACCTTTACACCTTTAGCCAATTTGTACTACTATTATCAGAACTCTTATCTCCGTCTGCCACTTCCATGTGTTCATTTAGGCCAATAGTTCCCTACGTTCACTCATCACCACCTCTTAGAAACCTCTTCAGGACCCACCTCAGGTGCTACCCTAATATTTTCAATTGTTATTATTCTCAGAACTAGGAGACCATTGTACACAGTAACAGCAATATTGTAAAATGATGATCAACTGTGAAAGACTTGGGTACTCTGATAAGTACAAGGATCCACAACAATTCCACTTCAGAGAAAGAACTGATGAACTCAGTGAAGATTGAAGCATATTTTCTTTCACTTTCTTTGTCTTTTTTTTTAATTACTTTCACAACATGACTAATGTGGAAATATGTACTTCTTGCCTTTTCAATGGGTGGGAAAGGAACAGGAGAGAGAATTGAAACTGAAAATTAAAATTTTTTAAAAATGTAATTTTAAGAAATTGTTAGTTGTCTCTTCCTCAGTTTTCCTTACTATATGTATTTGTGTTGTGTTGTATCCTGCAAGTAGCATGTAAACTCTTTTAAGGTCAGGGACTTTGATAGGTGTTATCCCCTGAAACCTAACATAGTATCTTATACATATTAGATGTTTAGTGTTTGTTGAATTTATATTAGGAAGAGAAAAACCAAGGGAAATAATTATCATAGTCCATATTAATGTAGCACTTTAAGATTTAAAAGCATATTTTTCAAAGGGGCTTTAATCAGCCAGTCCTGAAGCCTCACTGTAACCTTTTATATCCCCCAAAAAACCAATATGTTGTTTCTGAGACTCTAATATATCCCTCAACAGTTTTATTTCTAATGCCTCAGCTTCAGCTACTCCATGCACTACTTAGCGCTCTCCATCTACCTTATCTGAGTATTGCCTTTATGTTTGCAAAACCCCATTTTACAAGAAACAACTCCCTCCACATCTCCACTTATCAAAAAATCCTTCGAGGAATGACTCGGTATCTCCTCCAAGAAACTTTTCCTGGTCCCTTCTACTGATTCTTTTCCAAATCTTTAATCTTTCTCTGACCTCTCATGTGTATTTATCATATTCTGCCTTTGATTATAGATACCTGGGTATTTGTTTCACTGTTGGATTGTCAGCTCTTCAAACACTGTGACTGAATTCATCCATAAGGCTTCAGCATCTAGAACAGTTACTGGCACTCAGTATACACTTTGTAAAATGTTGAAATGAATGTCATCATATGAGAGCTCCATTGTTAACATTCAGTTTGAGAATATGGGACTAGTCAGTATTGGGATCAAAGAAATCCCAGCCCTCCTTTTGCAGGGTTTTGTTAGTATAGTGGGAAACAGCTTGATGCATTCTGAACTTCCATTTCTGGAAATATTAACTGAATTTGTTTTTAAAAGCAAGACCTCAGTATGGAATCCAAAGGAAGCCACTGATGAGAACCATGTGTTAAAAGGGGATTCTCTGTACCATACCCTTTAGTTCACTTGTAGTTGCACTCCTGGAGCATTTTTAGTTGCAAAAAACATTGTCTTCATAGGTTTTTACAGGTCTCATCCTTTTATGTTAAAAGTTCTAAAACAATGTATAGTTGAGTAATATATATGTGTTATCATTAACTTTTTGGACCGATTGTCCCAATTTTCCCATTTGGAAGTACAATGTTATAGTTGGAAACTGGCCCATTTGTAGATAAGAATTATCTAACAAGATAAGTTGGGTTAAACAAGCCCTGGCCCCATAGTCTTAATTTCTTCTTTACCTGTTTGGTTTTGGGGGGGAGGATTTGGATTTTTTTGTTGTTGGTTTTTTTGTGTTTGTTTTTTTTAATCATGGGCCAACATAGAAGTGAAAAGTAATTTAGGGTTTGCATGTTTTTTTTAAAGGCAAGAAATGTAAAACAGTTTTTATGTTCAGATAGAACTTTGACATTTTATATATGTTTCGGTAATACATTTTTCCAATTTAATATTTTTAAATGCCTACTTATGCAGAGCATTGTGCTAGGCATGGAGGTTATTCAAGTCTAGGTAAGATGTAGTCTCTGGATTCCTAGGGTAACATCTAAAAGAAAAAATGGTGAAAAAGAAAGAGAAAATCATTTGAGGGGAAGGGGAAAAGGTTAGAATAAATAGAAGTAGAAAATGACTAACAGTAAAGAAAAAGAAGCAAATTTGTTCTGCTGCAGGTATGTCTGTCACATCCTGCACTTCACTTGTACTGTGAGTTTCTTAAGTTATTTCTGCCCTGACATATTATTTAAGCACTCTTCACAGCTCACCAACTGTTTTTTATCTTTAAGCTCCACAGGCTCTTTTCTGATTCAGAAGATCCAGAAATTCTCTTAAGGAACAAAGCAATTATAGCCAAATCAATTTCGTTTGCCATCAACAGGGTTTAGTCAAACAATGGGCTGGGCATCTTCACCCATGTTCTAACCCATAATGAATAATAATAGTAACAATCTGAAGAAACTAGCTAAAGAGCCAACCTTAGAATCAGGAAGACTTGGGTTCAGGGACTGCCTCTGACATATTCTAGTCTGATGGCCATTGGCAAACCCTTCAGCTTCTTAGTGTTCATCTGTGTCTTTAACTACAAAATAATCAGCATTACCATTGGGACACTCGTGCATTAGCTCTTCTAGGAAGCAAGGGTGGCATAGTCTTTGCTTTCAAGGAGTTTACTTGGTAAACTAGAGACCATAAATCAAGTTTTCAAAGGGGTAAGGAGGAAGGAAAAGGAGTTAAGGGCCAGGAAGGTGGTGTGGAAGAACAAAACAGGAAAATGGAACAAGGAAACAGAAGAGAGACTAGCAACTTGCCGAACCCAGTGGCCTTTTTTCAATCATTCTCCCTGTCTTCTCTGTAGCCTTTGACACTGCTGATCTCTCGCTCTCCATACTCTCTTCTCTCTAGTTTTTTATGATACTACTCTGTCCTGGTGGTCATCCTACCCGTCTAACCTTTTTCAGTCCCCTTTGCCAGATCCTCCTCCAGATCACACTCTCTAACCTTAGGTGTCCCATAGGGTTCTGTCCTGGGCCCTCTTCCCTCCTCCCTCTATGCTGCTTCACTTGGTAAACTCACCATCTCCCATGGATTTAATTACCATCTTTATGTTCATGATTCTCAAATCTCCCTCTCTTGCCCTAACCTCTCTGCTGGTCTCCAGTCTCGAATCTCCAAGATGTCTTTTAAACAACTGGAACTGAATGTATAATAGACATCTTAAACTAAACATGTCCAAAACTAAACTCATTATCATTCTCTCTAAACCCTCCCACACCTTTCCTGCCTTCCCTTTTATTGTAGAAGGTAATAGGGGGCCATCACCAGTCATCCTGACTTATATCTTGCCACTGGACTCAGATGACTGGAGGAGATAGTGAGGCTGACGGCTTTGCACAGCCCTGCCTCACTTAAATCCAATTAACTTGAAAGTCAAGACATCACTCTTCTGATATTATTGATCCTCCTTGAGAAGGAAGGATGAACAGCAAGAGAGTAAAGGATGAACAACAAGAGGGCAATGCCATCCTACCAGGCAGTCAGGCTTGCAACCTAGGAATCATCCTGGACTTCTCATCACTCACTACCACCCTTATGTTCAATCTGTTGCCAAGGCCTGTCAATTTCACCTTTACAACATCTTCCCAGTATTTCCCTGTTTCTCCTCTGACACTGCCACCACTGTGGTGTAGGCTATTATCACCTCATATCTCCCCACTCAATCCATGGTCCATTCAACCATGAAAATGATTTTCCTAAAGTAAAAGTACAGTTATAGCACCCTACTAACTAAACTCCAGAGGCTTCCTATTGCCTCCAGGATCAAATACAAAATCCTCTGATAGACATTCAAAGCCCTTCATAACCTAGCCCCCTTCACAACCTAACTTTCCAGTCTTCTTACACCTTATTCCTTAGCAGGTACTCTTGGGTCTAATGACAGTGGCCTACTGGCTGTTCCTGGAACAAGACACTCCATTTCTCAACACTGGACATTCTCTCAGGCTGACCTCCATTCTTGGAATGCTCTCATTCCTCCACTCTGAATACTTCTTTGGTTTCCTCTAAGTTCCAACTAAAATCCCACCTTCTATAGGAAGCCTTCTCCAACCCCTCTTAATTCCAGTGCCTTCTCTTGGCAAATGATTTCCTATTTATCTTGCATATAGCTTGTTTGTACATATTTATTTTCATGTTGTCTCCCCCATTAGATTGTAAGCTCCTTGAGGGCAGGGACTGTTTTGCCTCTTTTTGTATCCCCAGTGCTTAGCACAGTGCACGGCACATAGTAGATACTGTGTTGATTGATTAATTGAGTTAAAGGATGCAAAACCAAAACTATCATGTGAAAAATTTCCAAGACCAGGCCAAGAAGTTTAAATACGAAGCAGAAAACAATGCATTGGGAATGGCTCAACAAATTACAGTAGACAAATGTAATGGGATATCATTATACCTTAATAATGATTAAAAGGATAGTTTCAGAGAAACCTGAGATTTGTATAACCTGACACAGAGCGAAGTAAGCAGAAACGAAAACAATGATGCAATCACAAAAACAACTGAGAAAGACTCTAAGAATTCTGATTTAGAAAAAGAAATTGAACAAGCCATAAATGAGCTCCCTAAGAAAAAATCCCTATGGATTCACAAGTGAATTCTACTTTAAATTTAAAGAACAATTAATTCCAATACTATGTAAACTATTTGGAAAAATAGACAAAGAAGGAACCCTTCCAAATTCCTTTTATGACACAAACATGATGCTGATACCTAAATTAGGAAGAGCAAAAACAGTGAA